TCCAGTGATGACTCGCTAATTCACTGGAAGTAAAATTCAAGACGAAAATCTATAAAAGTTATTTTTTTTTTCAAAAAACAAAAACTACTTTTTTTCCAACCAAAAAGAAAGCAAAAAACAATGTTATCAGTTTTGATAGAATACTTAAACCAAGTTTGTTTTGAAAGTGTGATTTTTACAAGGAAAACGCCTACAATGCATGTTAATAGTACAAATACGAGTATTATCCCTCATAGAGTGAGTGTAAACAGTTTTTATCCTTCCAATTACTGACACCACTGACAAAAGAAAACAACATAAAAAAATAAAATAAAATTTGAAGACAAAATGACTCATCGAAATGCCATTCACAGAGTTTAATGTCGGATTTCACTTTATTTTGTCTTATGAAAAAAAGAAAAAACTGGTCTGTATTTACTTCATAAAATTTTTAAGCGTACCTGAACGGACTTTTTAATTTTTAAACTTTTATCAAGGGAGAGGACACTAGCTACCGAAAACAAACAACTCCTATCTGTTAAACTTTATATTATTGCGAGGAAAACAGAAGACATTAAAATTGTAACACCATAAAGTGCACAGTAATTATAGGGAAATCATTTTAGGATTCTAACAAACTCTTACGAACTAGTGTTCACGTATTTGAAGCTTCTCTCTCTATCTCAACTTCATCGACTTTGAAAAGGCCTTCGACAGCGTCGATCGAGAGGTGATTTGGAAACTACTTCGCTACTATGGGGTGCCACCGACAATTATACATCTCATCCAACAGCTGTACGACAATGCTGCATGCCAAGTAATCCACAACGGGAAACTCACGGAATCCTTCGAAGTGAGGACAGGAGTAAGACAAGGCTGCCTAGTATCGCCAATGATTTTCCTGATTGCAGTAGATTGGATAATGCGACAAACAGCGGGCAATGAGGAAACAGCCATAAAATCGACTCACACAAAAACTTGGAGGATCTGGACTTCGCCGATGATATATGTCTGATTTCTCACAAACTGGAAGATATGCAAGTGAAAAGCATCAAAGATAGGACTTCAATTAAGCATAGAGAAAACAGAGGTGATGAAGATTCCTGGGCAACACGAATACCAAGAACAATCAGCATAAATTGGAAGAACCTGAAAGAAACAACTTCTTTTACCTACCTGGGAAGCATCGTTTCAACTACAGGCGGAACCGACGAAGATATCAAAGCAAGAATCGGAAAAGCCAGACAAGCTTTCACTACTCTCAAGTCTGTGTGAAGGTCAACAGCACTCAGCATGAAAAATAAGATCCGGATTTTCAACTTCAATGTGAAGTTAGTGCTACTATACGGATCAGAGACTTGGCACGTCATGAAGTGCATCTCAAGCAAACTACAGACCTTCATTAACAGTTGTCTTCGCTGAATACTCAAGATCAGATGGCCGGCCAGAAAAGATCAACAACAGAGATCTCTGGAGAGCGAACCAACACAGCAGGAACCGATTCTTCAACAAATAGGCAGAAAGAAATGGAGATGGATTGGCCATACTCTGAGGAAACCAACCATCAAGTGACATCACTAGACAAGCCATTGCTCGAGTGGAACCCGACTGTATTGGAAGCGGCGAGTTGGTCGTCAGTGCAAGGGTAACTTGGAGGAGGTCATGTGAAGAGGAGATGAAAATGTGTGGGCAGACTTGGATCCAGGTGAAGACTCTAGCAGAGAACCAAGCGCCACGGAGACGGATGGCTGAAGCCCTTTGTTCCTCTAGGAATGAAAGGAAACAATAATAATAACGATTGGGTTGATTTTCCGAAGTAGGCTTGCTAGTTGTACGCCTAACCTTCCCTCTTTTTCTGGTTTTACAACCGGATGACGAATAAGTGAATTGGTAACGCAGGACTGGATTATGCAAAACACCATGGAGGTATCAAGAAGACAGAAATAAGTCGGACCGGTAGAAAGGTACTGGAAGATCTGAACTTTGCGGATGGTTTATATCTAGTGTCAGAAAAACTCGAAGATTTACAGATGAAAATGAACAAGTAGGCAGAGCAAGAAGGAAGCTGAGAAGACAGGACTTCAAGAGGCATAGGTGATGAGGACAACCATCGTCTAACAACACCAAACACATATCACTGTCGGAAGGAACAATCTGAACGCGGTCACTTCTTAAAACTATTAAGGCAGCATCTTTTCAACTACAGGTAATTGGCATGAATGAAGATATCAAAACAAGACAGGACAAGAAAAGCACAACAGACAGTCTTTATTCTGAAACTCAGTGTAGAAATCTGCTTCAGTCAGCAAAAGGAACAAGATTCGGATTTTCAACACTTAGGTCAAGTTAGTCAGTGCTTCAATATGGTCCAGAGATTTAGTGTGTTGTGAAAAGCATTTACAGCCGGTAGCTGACTTTCACCAACAGCTACCTTCGTTGGATCGATACTGAAGATCAGATAGTTAGACAGAAAGAATAAGCAACCAGAAACTCTGGGAATGAACTAATCAAGAACTTATAGCCCAATAAATATTCCGAAGCAAATGAAGATGGAGTGGAAACACTGAGGGGACAGTTCGGTGGCATCACACGCCAGGCAATCGCTTTAGTGGAACCAGATTAAGTCTTAGAGTGATTTAGTGGAGATTATGTGAGAGATATGCGAGCTTATAGGCAATCATGGAGCCAACTAACGAGAACTGCAGAGACCAAGATGAAATAGAGATGTGGTGTTGAATCTCTATTTTCCACTAGAAACCGAAGGGAATAATAATATAAATAATAATGTTCACGCAAGTGCATACTTGATTTTAAACCTTAGTGAGTGTTTCCCTTGTGTCACGTGATCCACAATAGAAAGCTCAGCGAGGCGTTCGAAGTGAATACAGGAGTAAGACAAAGCTACATGCTTACCATCACAGATGATTTCCTAATTGTGGTGAACTGGATTATGCATCAGACTGTGTCCAGGTAATGAGAATATAGGTATACGCCGGATCGATGAGAGGACTCTAGAAGATCTGGATTTCGCAGGTGATTTATGTTTATTGTCACATGAACTCGAAGACTAGAGGCGAAAACCAACAAAATGACTGAAAAAGCAGTGCCCCGAAGACAGGACTCCAGGTGAAAGTAGAGGAGGCGGAGGTGATAAAGACAACCAAACAACAGCAACAACAATAAACACCACCAATCGCCATCAAAGGAGAGATTTGCCAGAGGTTACTTACTTCAATTATCTAGGAAGCATCATTTCAAACACAGGCGAAAGGATGAAGATATCAAAGCTGGCCAGAATCGCAAAGGCAAGATTGACTTTCGTCAACCTGGAACCAGTTGGAAATCTTCTGCATTAACTCAGCCAGCATAAAGAACATGGTTCGGATTTTCAACAAAAATGTGAAGTCTGTCAGTCACTTCTTCTATACTGGCCAGAAACTTGGAGCATAATGAAACGAATTTCTTACAGGCTACTTCCGACTTTTATCAACAGCTGCCTCCTTCGCTGGTTGCATACTGAAGATTAAATGGCCAGCCAGCCGGCGAGAAAAAATTAGCAGCAAGAATCTCTTCCTGACAACAAACCAGCAGATGAGAGCCGACTGCTCAACACATATGTAGGAGAAAATGGAGATTGATCCGCCATACATTAAGGAGACTTTTAAATGACATCGGAAGCAATCTAGTCCATTGTTCTAGTGGAATCCCAATTGGAAGCAACGAGTGGGTCATTTGTGCAAGGATAGAATGGAAGAGATCGTGTGGCGAGGAGGAGATGAAAGATTATGGGCAATCGTGGATCCAGCTCAGGAGGACAGCACCAAAAAGAACAAAGTGGAGATGTGTTGTTGAAGCCCTGTGTTCCAAATGGAACCCAAGATAATAATAATAAATAAGCCTTTCCGAAGTAAACTGTGCAAATATTTGAAAATCCTTAAATGAACAGCATAGTTTTGTCCGGGACATTCAGATCAATTCCTTAATGATTTTGAAAAAGACGTCTGATGAAATAATCCTATTCACACGTTATTCCTTGAACTCTGATGGCCTTTTAGTGATATTATTTAAAGGTATTCAGTAATTAACTACCCTATTGCAAACAAAATCTGATAAACACAGTCTCATACACGATTTCAGGAAAACATGTTCAATTTATTTTGAATAATATTTTTGAAAGCAAGATCGTGAAGACTAGACAGGCATTCACTACTCTGAAATCTGAGTAGAAATCCATAGTACTTAGCACAAGCAACAACTTCTGAATACTTAACGAATTTTTAACGGGTAAAAGTTAAAGACAAGGAAACAATCAGTACCAATACCACAAGTAGCCTAGAGGGTGTGAAAACACACAAAAACAACCAATCACGTTCAAGGTCACCCACTGAGAGAGATGACTAATAAACTCGTGGAGAAATCTACAAGCTCACTTCAACGAATTGAAGTATGCACTGAAGATGTCGCCTAATAGGGTGATGAAAGCTTCGCAAATTAACTATCCAGCTCAGAGAACACAACCACATCAAAAACATTAACGATACTTCGATACATTTCAGAGACTCAGTGAGTGCTGCAGCGAAAGGAAACATTTCCAGCAGACTACACAGTTTCATAAAAGGCTACCTTCGCCAACTGGCCAGCGAAGAACAAGGAATTCTTACAAGCAGCGAACTAGCCAAGAATCTACTGCCCCAAAATATGCAGAAGGAAATCGAGATGGACTAGACTTGCATTCTGAAGCGACTTTTAGGTGGCATCACATATGAGGCCCTCAAATGGAACTTGAATAACTGATGACGAGTTGAATGTTGGGCGTGACATGAGGAACATCATGTGAAGGTGGAATAAAAGCTTGTGTACAGTCATGGATCCAGTTGAAAGTAATAACAGGAAACATAGTACAATAAAGGCGTCCCGGTGAAGCTTTAGGTTCAACTCAGAACTTAAGGAATGAATAATAACAATAATACTTCAAATAAAAATATAGTATCCACTAGTGTGATTTTTCGATGATCGCTTACCTTCTGCAACTATCTTTTCTTTTCCTTTTTCTTTATTCTCCTTTGAACGACTTGAACAACGAGGAATCAGCCAGAGAAATGATTTTGAATAATGACGATCTGATTTGCAACGTTCAAATGCTGAAGTCGACTGGTTAAGTGAATCGGTGGGGATATCCGTTTCATGAGGTTTTCGAGTTTCACTTTTTCTTCGATTTGAAAATCCTGAAAAGCTACGTCTTAATTTTGGTGATATATGACGTAGAAATTGTTTAAAGATTTTACTCCCCGTACTACTTGGTCGACTTTGTGGCGTATCTTTATTGTTATTATTATTATTGTTATTAGCTACTAGAGCTGCATCTACGCGTGAAAAATGACTTCTACATCTTGAATCGGTAATTTTAGGACTAGTTGAAGATGTTGAATTTGTCTGAAGTGCAATAGTATCATTTGTAAGTGAACTGATAGATGCTGGATTAGAGACAATCGTCGGTGTCCCTTGGGATACAAAATGGTCTAAATCAACTTTAGGCAGACTGGATTCTGAACAAGGATTGATTGTTGATAGTAGACCTATATGAAAAGTAATTAAGAAAAACAAGCAAATTAAGTTAATCATGGTTGCTATATTAATTACAAGTTCGTTGGAAACAAAAGCTGAATAAATAAAAAATTTTTGAAAGAAGTTTAAAGACACTTTACTCACTTTTCAAACTCATATAGAAACGCAGTCTATCGTCCTAACACACATCTAGCAGACATATGCTGATGGTAGTTCGTCAGTTTAATGAAAAACATCGGTTAGACTTATTAGAAGACAAAGTTCTGTCAAAAAATGTCTACAGATTTCGAATAATCTGATACGACACAACTAACTACTAGTCAAATTAACGCCTATGGAACAAATAAAAGATTCATTATGATGAACAAAATAATTGGAAATTTGAGGGGTTAAATATCTGATGGACAAATTAATTAGCAGTAAGTAGGTTGTGTCATGATTCTTAGTAATTTATTCAGATAGCGTAGCCGTATCATGCAACCCCTTCCATAGTTGCTACTCGAGCTCGATTTCAGGCCAGCAAATGACTCTGACTGATGACCAGCCTAAGCCATCCTTGGATAGTAGCATGCACTAGCATATGATTCTAATTGCCTTTCAACCTACCACTGTGCACGTCAAGGAGAAAGTGAGAGAAGTATTTCGTAAAAGGACTAAACTTTGTTCCAAATTGAAAAACTGTGCAATTTATCATTTAATATTTTACCTGAAGATCCTATACAGTGTGAATATTTTGTGAGAATAACACAGAATTTTAAGAATAATAGTTTACTTTATTCCCGAACAGTACTTATGATGCCGCATGGAATTCTCACTATTTGATGCAATACTGCATGGTGTAGGATAACGAAGCTGCTGAAGTCTAAGAAGGCAGCAGGATCAGATGGCATCCTTCCTGAAGCACTGAAGACGGCCCCAGAGATTACGGCAGATGTCCTCACTCCATTACTGAGAAAAGTTTGGAAAGAAGGAAAGGTGCCTACTGACTGGAAGAAGGGCTACCTCGTCAAACTGCCAAGAAGGGCGACCTGGTTAAGCCTGTGCAAGAACTGACTGGCGTGGAAGAATGCTGTTGTCCACGCCAAGTAAAATACTAAGTCGCATCATCCTGGAGAGAATAAAGGATTCATTGGATACAAAACTCCATCAGACCAGAACAAGCTGGATTCAGGAAAGACAAATCATGTGCTGATCAAATCGCAACTTTACGCATCGTCATCACAGAACAAAGTATAGAATGGCAGTCAAATCTCACTCCGCCTGAACTTAATTGACTTCGAAAAGGCCTTCGACAGACAGCATAGACCGAGAAGTAATTTGGGAACTAATTCAACACTACGGCATGCCTCAAGTCTTTGTCAACTTCATTCAACAGCTACGCGACAATGTCACATGTCAAGTGATCCACAACGGAAAACTCAGTGAGGCGTCGAAGTCAATACAGGAGTAAGACAAGACTGCCTATTATCACCGATGATATTCTTAACTGTGGTGGACTGGATTACGCGTCAGACTGTGCACTGGGAGCGAGGAGTCAGGAATATATATGTCTGATATATGTCTAATGTCACACAATTCGAAGACTTGCAAGCGAAAACCAACAAACTTGCTGAAGAGGCAGCAAAAACACAGCACAGAGAAGACGGAGTTGATGAAAATAACCAATCAACAGCAACAACAACAACAAACAGCACTAATCACCATCAACGGGAGAGATTGGACAGAGGTTACCTCCTTCACTTCTCTACGAGCCATCGTTTCAACTACAGGCGGTCGGAACGGACGAAGATGTCAAAGTCAGAATCAGAAAGGCAAGTTACGCCTTCATCAACCTGAAACCAGTTTGAGAATCTTCCGCACTCAGCATAAACAACAAGATTTGCATTTTCAACACCTATGTGAAGTCAATCAGTTCTTCTATACGGGTCAGAAACTTGCACTGCGTGTCCCAAAAAGGATTTCCAACAGGGTGCAGACTTTCATCAACAGTTGCCTTCGCTACCTCCATACGGAAGATCAAATGGCCAGAAAGAATAAGCAACAAGAAACTGTGGGAATAAGCCAGTAAGCAAGAACCGATCGCTCAACAAATATGTAAGAGAAAGTAAAGATGGATTGATCGGGCATACATTGAGGAGGCCGCCGAATGACACCGCACGCCAGAATATCGCTAGAGTGGAATGGCGATGGGAAGCGACGAGTGGGTCGTCGGTGAGAGTGTGACATGGAGGAGATCGTTTTAGGAAGAGATGAGAGAGTTTGGTCAATCGTGAACCCAGCTGAAGAGGACGCAGAAGATAGGATAGAGTGGAAATGTGTTGTTGAAGCCCTATGTTACACTCGGAATGCAAGGGAATAATAATAACCTTTTTGGCCCCAACAGTAGCAATACAGTCAAAAATGTACAAAAATTATAAAAAGATAATAATAGCTAAATTTATAAATTAACAGAAATAGTGTCATCATAAATCACAGTTACAAGGGCCAATTATTTTCCTAGCTAAATAGAACATGCACCGAATAAGGTATCGTTGAGTTTTCTTACTTAATTTTGCAAGCATTTAATCTCATGATGACTTCTAGTTCGACCTTATGAAATGCGAGAGGAGATTTGTAAATAAAGAGAAGGCAAAGAGGTAGACAATATGGCTTTTGCCCATTTCTTCTATGAGTTCAGTTGTCTATCGACTACAAAAAATTGTAATGAGCTGACTTCATGGCACACCATTTTTTCTACTGACAACCTTTAATCCCCTCTTCACAATATAGAATAGTCCTTTTTGAGTAGCCGAGGAAAGATAATGGGGGAGCAGTAAAGAACAGTATGTAAGATGCAAAAGTTAATAAATTGTTCAAGTAGAGGTTGAGTGATTCTTGATTGTCTTAACTTCTCAATAAAGTAGATCAGAAGAAACATTTTCTTAGAAATCAATAACCTTAGAAGAGACGTTAGAGGAAAGAACTATTCCAAGGTATTTTATGCTTGACTCAGTTTCTACTTAAGTGTCCCTTATGCTACGCTAAAAGCATCATATGAGTGAACCAGTGGGTGTAGATCACGTGTTTGCCCTGAAGGTTAGTGGAATTTAACGCAAGACCATTTAAGTTAGGTCAATGACCTTTGTCCGACATAAAGCTATTCAGTTTGGAACACCTAGATCGAGAAGTAACCGTATTGTGTGCAAATATCTCGTCTGAAATTAAACCATCTCTGAACATGCACAAACACAAAAAAGAACAGAAATTAAAGAATGACTATCACTTCTAAAGATTTCAGTGTGCACCTTCAATAAATTTCCACGCAAAATACGAATATTAAGTGTCGTCTCTGATGTGTTTCCTTGTTGACGAAGATAACTAAACTCTATCACTTGGAGCATATTTCTCACATATATCAGGATATGAATCACACTTTCCACATCAAGACTGACTAAACTATGCAGTTTTTCAGTGAGGCCTGGATTTGAACATGGGACCTATTGGCTGAAGGCTGAGTAACTGAATCAATAGGATATACAATCACAAAGAGGACAGTTCGCCTGCTGGACTTATTAAATTTTAAAAATTAGACTGCTTTAGAAAACTGCGGGCATTGTCTATAGCCATCAAGAAAGTATCAATTATAATGAAGCCTGAATCAAATAAATATTTTAAGGGTAAAGGGCAACAAATGGTACAACTAAATTTTACTTCCCCTTCCCCCCACAGAATATTATTATAATGTTATCATTCACATATGTTGAGAAGGCTGAATAAAAATAGATATACAAAACAGAATTGTTATCATCATGCCATATGTATTTAGTGACACTTGAATGGGCCTGGGTTTTTCAGAATTTGATTGTGCTGTTTTATATCACTAGCATAATCTATATCATTTTATATCTGATAAGTGGTTATCTGTCTGTCAACATCTTGTTAACATAACACTAGATAAAACGATGGCTTTGAAATGTGGAAGATAATTAATTCCATCATTATTAATCACATCACAATTTACACTAAAATAACATATTTTCTATTTGGACGGAGGATTTCATCATGAGTTGACATCAGTTAGAGAACCATTGGAAAACCAACTGGGAGTACTGGACAGCCAGCCGTTTCGTCACTAGTTTGGGACTCTTATTCAGCAGTACGCACTCACCGACAGGGTTCGAACCTAGAACCTTCCGCTTACAAAGCGAGCTCGCAGATTATTGATTCACTAGGACACGATCCAATGGCCAGACCATGAATTCTAACTTCTGCCAATTTCCAACATAGCGCGATCATTTCGCAATGTTTTCTTCGATGAGTTACTGCCTCATCTTCAACCTGCTGTACCCTAATGGTCACAGCTTCCCATTAGAACCCCAGGTCACTGCCAGTCGCTAGTGAGCATCAGATTAATTTTAATTACTCCCAGATTAAAACCTGGGAGTACTGGACAGCTTCTCCAGGTTTTCCAGTGGTTCCCTAACTGATATTGGCTCATGATGAAATCCTCCAACCAATCAAACAAAATCCCTACAAAACCAATACTTGAAAATATTTTCTATTTAACATAGTCGAACACAGGTACAGTTACCGTTACCATACATTTCTCGCAACATTACACCTAATCTCTATTGAATTTACCAGTAAAAATGAATTAACAGTAGATAATTTCAAGAAAAAATAAAAACTGTTTAATCAAGAATTGACGTCAGTCGAGGAACCACTGAAAATCAGAGAGTACTGAACGGCTGTCTGGCCCTAGTTTCAGAGTCTGCAACAGTAACCACCAACGGTCCCTTTGGGGATCGAAATCAGGAACTTCCGGTTACAGGAAAGGCTTGTTTACCACTCAAGCACTAGCAGGTAATCTAATCAGCCATAAGTTCTAACTTCTACCATTTGTTGAAATATCGAACCATTGCCAACCGATATCATCGGTGAGTAACCTTCCTCTCATCTGACTTGGTGGACCCAACTGGTTACGAATTCAGCAAATACTCTGAGGTCGGTTACTTATTCTATCACTTAAATA